ATCATCATCCGCACGCAGCCTTCTGCGGCCACCTGGGCATCCGTCTGGGTCTAACCTCACACTACTGCACCTCACCAGGGCGTGCTCACTGCCGTTCTTCAGGCTCTCCGGTCTGTGCGCAACACTAAAGTACGAAATGAACAGAAGCGGCAATGTCGCCAGTCGCACCCTTTACAGATTCACGAACCCACGAACCAGTCATCTCTCAAGTCCCCAAGTCCCTGAACCGCTACCCTCCTGGCCAGGGGCTCCCTCGCGAGCCCCGCAGTTGGCCTCGAAATGAAATTGGCAACACTCACTAGAAGGGCCAGGGGACGGCCAGGCGAGCGTGCCGGAGTTTCGACATCCAGGAACAGGATGCGCACGGGGTCAAGCCTGGTCGGACCCTCACCAGCCCGTGGATCCTCGCTCAGAACCTCTCAAGTGCTCCAATCACCCTGTCATGGGTCCCAGCGACTGGGCTTCGCGCTTGCCCCATTTGGCCTTTAAGTTGCCGATGGCTGTCCTACACTGGCAGTGGCTTGACCGTTCGTGTCCATCTCATCAACTGAACTTCCATAGCCAGTGAACGATCAGCAAGTCTGCTATTTATCGGATTCATGAATATTATCAGCTTCTCCTTAAACCGGGAAGGGGGGTACGTAGGCGCCGCTCGCGTCTGATCTCATTCCATCTCTAATGATTGGTAAGTAGGTAGTACTACCTTACTCCGTCGTCCGTTCAAGCAGAAAGGATATTTAGTGTCAATATCCTGCAGGTACCACCAAAATACTCTGGAACTAGCCATTCCAGGCCAATCTAGAGACGCCTGTCGGATTCGTAGAAGACGACCCAGCTGAGCTGTGACTGGCACTCCCGTGACAGCCCCTTGATGCTCGCTCGACAGGAGCAACGAGATAGAATGCCCGTCTCGGACGTCGCTCTGTCCATTGCCGAACAGTTGGATATCATCAAAGTTAGCCATTAGGCTAGCATGGTGTTCGTCAACAAGTCCGTTTGTCGTCACTGTTAAATTGGGACAGATCAGACCACATACTACTACTACCTAAGGTAGCTAGTTACTATGGTCCAGTCCACGGATACAACCAAAGTGATGCAAGACGCTTAGCAAAAATTCACTGCACATGATGCGATACAACGCAAATCTAACAACCGTCTTCAGTGGCTCGAACTAAACCAGACATCTTGGAGTAATCAGGAGAAGAGTTCCATCGCATACTACACTACACTTCTGCCGGAAGATTGAATCACTGGGGTCCTCACCTGGCGTGCCCAAACTCTAGCGCCATTATATCCAAGATTTTTGCCGACCTACATGTCCCATCAGCAACCACAGCACTTGTCTTGATAGACCATGCTAGAAACCTTAACCTCATCTCCATGAAACAGGGCTGCTCAACAAAGCGAGTTGAATTATCAGGCCTATCGTGGAAAGCACCCCAGAATGACTCGCTCACTAATCAGACTCCCCCATCTTATCCAAAGAACATACTTATACTTTATTCAAAACGAAGAAAAATCACCCCCATCGGACCGGAAGGTGCTGTTTCACGGGTCGAGGTAAAGAAGGTATTCCAATTACTCTCAATGATTTCGACTCGCGGTCCAGCTGCCTCGTATGCCTATTCGTCAATACAGGCAGCCTGTGCAGCGTGTGCCTAAAGTCCGCAAAATGTGCATAAAATTGCCGCTTGAACATCACTTCCCTTCTTTCTCAACTTGAACAGTGAACCATACTCCACTCAAAGATGATAAAGCTCAGAGTTCTATCTAAGAGACTCCGCTCGTCTTTTCAACCACCCCAGCTCATTTCCATATCTGGAAACGCAGCCAATAGTAGTTGGCATGGCGCTCGCTGGCTTCGCGGATAGCTCGAGGCTCATTTCTTGTTGCCAATCAAACCCAGCTATTTGCTTCCCACCGTTTCCCTATGTGGTGCAATAGCTCCGACGCCACGCTTTGGGTTTCTCTAGTGTCGTCGCTTCGACTAGTTCAGCGGTGTGACAAACATGATTGATGAAGCTGCTGCGTCTTTTGGGTATCCCGTCCCGAGTGGCTGATTGCTTCTTTTGGCACCTACTGCTAGTACTTGCTACTGGAGCCTGCCCCTGAGTATGTGGCTAGGAACTGTCAATATGATACTACTAGTTACACACATGCAGTTCATCATTACGAAAGCTGACGAAATACAACCGCAGGATGGGGGTTCAAACCCGACGGACAACCCAGCCATACACTTGCGACCCTTCCAAACAGTACATGCACAACCATTCTGTAGAGTGCTGGATTAGACTTTCAGGTCTCCTGCTGATCTACATGGTCATCGAGTGAATGACTTTTGGAAGAAGTGTCACACTGAATACAATGCTAGAATCCGGTTCGCAACATGTCGCCCCCTCACCTGCTAGATGCATTTCCTTTTAACGGGACGGGGAGGTGATGAAACCCTGATCAGAGACCTAGTGGTCGTGACTGTTTTGCGTTTCAGACTTCATCATGGGATGTATTTTCCTTGGACCGATCTGACATCGGCGTAAACAAAACACGCATCTTGTTCCTTGCAATGGAGAAGATGAAAATCCCCCAGACGGCCGCCGCTGGTGACTTATATTTGGCATCAACAGGGGGGCTATGGCTGGTGCGATTCAGTCAAGTGTCGTCATCCTGTTCCGTCAACTGGTCTCAAAAAGCCTGAACTTGTGGCGCCCGTCGGCTGTTGCAGCACTGAAACATAGCACCCTTCACGTATATTGTATACATATACCTACGGAGTACTCCGTACATGTAGGCACCTGCCTGTAACCATGCCGGCGTCTGCTTTTCAATGCTAATAGTAAGACAGACGACGACATGACTAAACAGTGTAAGTCGGCAGCCCCGTTGTTTCAAAAGCCGATGTGCTGTTATTTCATCGAGAGCAGCCGACATGCAGGGTAGGTAAGGCGAGACGGTGTGCCAATTTCGTCTGTCGCCTGTCACCGTACTGTATTTATTGTGTAGTCCGCGTGCGCGGTAACTGTCTGCCTGGGTTGTCTGGTCAGATATTGGCTTTTTTCCACCTCGCTCCCCGCTCCTAGGCTGCTCTGCCAAAGCCTGGGCTTCCATGTCTCGGGTATGGGGTAACATGGTTCACCCAACTGGGCTGGGCAACTGAAGCTGGGTTGACTTTGATGTATGTACATGTGTAGATGTTGGAAATGTACTCAGCAGATGGCTGACCACTGGAAAGCACGGACAAGTGCAATCATTCCATGGAACGCCATGATAATGATACAAACGAGCTACCGACACCTCGGCCCTTTCGCTCGGCAACAATATGTTGACAACAGTTGTCAACGTCTGCTTTTGGAAAACGTCGAATCTTTCGGGAAATAGTGGAGATGCACCTACGAATACTACTACATGTTGTAAGTTACATATGTCCTTCCCGAAGTTCCTTTTGGTCTGTGGTTTGCAACGGCCAACGGATGATGCCAGTACCCGGCCGTTGGATCTGATGTGCCTTTGACGGTCGTGGCACAAGCCCCTGCCTGCTTGCGCAACAAGGATACTCTGGGGAAGCCCAAACACACAGGGGTGAAATCGTGGATACATACTCTGTACATACATAGCTACCTACCTACCTAGGTAGGTAGGTACATCTCTCTCTTTGGGTGTGGAATGTTGCCAAGCGTCCATCCAAATCAGACTCGGAAAGGTACAATCTCCTGGGGTTCTGCCGGACTATGTTTGCGTTGAGCTATCTGACGAGGTACGTTGCGTGTTTGTTGTGTTGGCAAGTACTGCGCGATCGGCATTTTTGTAAAACGACCTACCCAAGCACCTATAGGCAAAGTAGGTTGGAAGTATGTTGCTGGCGCTGACAAGTTACGACTCAGGGAATTATGCCGTTAAAGTGCCATGTTTCAAGAACTTTTATCGACGCACTCAGTCTCTGCATGCCCCGGCGTGTATCAGGAGCGTTCGACGACAAGGCGAAACACCCGAATGCACCCTGCTCATGGTGATTCATGCGATAATGCCTCATCAACGACGATGATGCCCCACAGCCAACGGAAATGGACCTGATGTGATGTCAACCTTGGGCGCCAACGGCATGGGCGACGTGAGATTCAGGTGATTGCACCTAGGATACTCCGTGCCAGGGTTCCCTTGGCCGCCCGGCGGTCGCTCGGGTTAATCTGTAAAAAAACCCGAGGTCGTCTGCAGATGCTGCTTGAAGCGTGGTTGTCGTCGGGGGGCTTAGCGCCATCGGATCGGGCTGCATAACAATAATGAACAAATAGCCTCTCATCCCCTCACCAAGGAACCCAATCAAGCGGCTCACCGTGCATTGAACAAAAGGAGAATTACTCATGTACGGAGTACAGTATGCTCGCGATATCGCAGACAGTCAGGCACCAGGGTCTGTGTGGCCGTCGTCAAGGTTATTCTGGAAGCCATGCGCCGAGCATGACTGGCTAATCTACACCATATTCTCCACCGAGCCCTGCGCCGAATCCTGATTTTTTCCTTCTTTGCTGGGCCGCAGCCTGGACCAAGTGTGGCGTGCCAAACGTCATAACGTCATGGACCCAGCCATCGTCGGGCGCCCAGCCACGCGTTTTTGGGCGCCGGGCTCCGATGCCGTCAGGTGCAAGTGCAGATGCTCCCAGGCCTGCACCCCGCAGAGCCTGTGCTGCGTTGCGGTCAATGTTGCGTGGTGATGGTTGTAAGTGCCTGTACTCCGTACGGAGTAGAGATGGAAGAAGCGTGGTCCTTGCCCACATGATGCATCTTGGTTGCTGCGCCTTGTCCATTCGTCCTGCCCTCATCCTCATGTCTTCAGCATCTTGTGCACACACACATATATTACTCGTGCTGGCTCCTCTTTACACAGGCTTTTTCATCTGGTCTGCCTCTGCATTGCGAAACTCTGCATAACCCCCCCAATCCCATACAATCCGCCAAGCCTCTTGGCCACCTCAAACATCGCCGGGCCTCATCCGCGCGCCATCGAAATGGGTATGCCGCAACCATATCCCCATCTCCCGCATCCATCCTCATTGCCATCGCCGCCACCAAAGCTAACCCTCTCCCAGGTCGCCATCACGGCACCAAAAAGCGTCTGTACCTCTCGCGGCCCGAGCCAGACATCCTCACCTCTCGCCGCCGCGTCACGCGCATTATCCCACCTACCCCTCCGCCATGCGAAGAGCCCGTCCCCGTCCCCATCATCGAGGAGCCTGCCGAGCCTGAGCCATGCCCGCCAGCGCCCTGTCCATCCCCACCCGCCCTTCCCGCGCCCGAGCCGCAAATTGAAGTCATAGCCGTCGACGTCGAGCCGTCGGTGAAGTCGTCAAAGTCCAGCCGCAGCCGTTCCAGGAGCCACAGCCACACCCGCGAGAAGGAGTTGTACGTTGAGCGAGATCGCTTCGTCCCCGTGCCTGTGCCCGTCCCCGTGGAGCCCAGGTACGAAACATACCGCTACGTCGAGGCCCCGAGGAGGTACGTCGAGCCTCCTAGGGAGAGGAAGATGATTGAGGATAATAAGGAGAGAGTGACCCATGTCCATGTCCACACGGAGGATAGGGAGACGAGTCGTGAAAGGAGGGCCTATCGCGACAGGGATTGCTACGATAGAGAGTACTATGACTCGAGGGATTATTATCGGCGGTAAAGCATCTACGGGATAGGAGTTGATGGGAGGTTTTTTTCTTCTTTCTTTTTTTTGGGGGGGAAGGGGGGTTTTTTGGACAAGGTTCGACGGCTGCGATAAATGATTATGAAGCCTAATGCTGTCTAAAGTGTGTAGGAACTTGGATCAAGGCTGGGATTTTGTATTTACTGGGCCGAGAGGGTCTGGATTTGACATTGCACAATGAACAAGTTATTAATTTGCTTTACATGTATGTACGTACGGTTTGTGGCGGAATATCTTTGTTGAGCAAGAAGTATACGTTCATATATTATCGCACACAATTGCAGGATGTAGCACGATTGCCAGGTAGTAGTTCCTTGATTTGGCCAAATACTGTTTGGGTCCCCACTGCACAAATGCAACACGGATGTCTTGCTTCCCATCAAGCCATGAGTCGAGAGGGACGTTTAATATCGAATACTAACCGACTGCGGACGTCTTTTCGGGCGTCGAACGACCGGCACGCTCTGCTCGGCCATGTACGCCATCGGACGCGGCAAACGGTCATCCGCCATCCGTGCCTCCGGATAGTCCACCTCCGGCGTGGGCGCAGGCCGATCGACGACATATGCCGCGGCATCCGTCCTCTGGGGCGCCACGCCAGGGACATATCTGGTGTTTGAGACGCGGCCCGTCTGCCTGCCAGACAGCCACCCGAGGACGTTGCCCAGCTCGCCCATCCACCACAGGCCAATGACAATGATGAGCAGCGTGACGGGGATGGCGACGGCCCAGTACAGCCACTGGCCGGAATCCATGTCGCGGATGTCGTTGGTGTTCATGCCAAAGATGCTCGAGATGGCGCTGAGCGGGAGAAACACGACGGTGACGATTGTGAAGGCGTAGATGGCATTTTCCTGCCGGTCCCTTGTCCAGTCTAGCCCGTACACTACGGCGCGCTCCAGGTCGTCTGCGTAGTCGGTGTGGCGGCGGAGGTCGAACTCGCGCTGCTCCACGAGCCGGATGCATTCGTTGAGGAACAGGGCGCGGAAGCCGAGCTCATCGGTAGCGGAGAGTCTGGAAGCGGCTTCGAGGTCCGCCGCATCTTCGTCGTCCAGCCTCATGTATTCGGCATCACGCCGTCTCACTATAGGGTCGTACGGCAGCGGACCAGGGTAATAAGGCGGCGCGTCCTCGTACATGTCCCTGCCTCGTCTGCGGCGCCAAACAGCGTCGTCGGCCGCGTCTGCCAGATATCTGCCGCCATCTTTGATGGGGAGGTTTGATTTGATGCTTGCCAGAATATATCTTTGCTTCGCCACTGTCCTTTTGATGACTGTCATTTCTTGTTGGACCAGATCGATTCGGTGTTGATAAGACCGGTCAGACGGCTGGCTGGTAATCTCCGCATCCTACCGAAAAACAAAAGGTCAGAACCGGTCGAATCTCTACAAAGAGTCCAGGCTGCCCTTACCAGCAACGTCAGGTACTGCGCGTAGGTATCCATGATGTCTTCTGCTTTGCCCACTTGATCATGCAGCAAGTTGAGTGAAAATAGTGAAAGGACCTCCAAGGGTAGCACGGCAGAATCGTCGAGAAGGTTTCGACTCGAAATGCCCTGGACAATACGGTTCATGCCATCCATCATGAGCACTTTAGCCTTGGACACGTGCGCAAGCCATGCATTTCCTCTGTCAAAGGCACTGATCAAGCCAGACACAATGTGAAGCCAGGCCGTGATGAACTGCCGGGGGAGGTCGATGGTGGCCCTTTCCTTCTCATCAGCATAGGACATTAGATTCTGGAAGTTTTCGACATCTTGAGACATGTCTCTCAAGGCCGTCCGAATCTCTGTCGTAATACTTTGGCTTGCAGATACGGACGAGACTGTAAACTCTCCCTCCAGTTGAGGTATCTGATTTATGTAGCTGTCATTAGCAACATGATTGTGGCTAGTTTGGTACACCATGGCCCGGGTATCATACCTTGAGAAGAGACTTGACAGCTCCCCAATACTTGTGTATCGTCGGTCCATCAAACGCCAAAGGGAAGAACAGCCTGAGGATATCATCCGCAGCATTGAAAATGTCAATTCTCTCCTCATGCATGAGTCTTATATTGTCGCTTGCTTTTTCTTCCACCTGGGTCGATTGTTTCACCAGGAAATCATGCACACTCTCCCTCGTGGCATCCCCGCAGCTTTTGTACGCTCGCTGATCTGCGTACGATGCTTGGCCCGTCAGAAACTTCTCGGCCAAACCCAATTGTTCATTCAAGGCTTCTACTGGCTGGAGAGTAAGTACGTGTAAATATTCGTGTGGTTTCTTGCATGGTTTTGAATGCTCGTCTCCTGCATCACCAGGTACTAGAGGCTTCAAAACCGTTCGCGGAGGAGAGGGCCGTGATCTACGTCATATTAGTTACGATTTAGAGACTACTAGTATTAGAGGTTGTCAAAGTCATGGCGGTGAAAATTCTCACACTATCTCCATCTTCAACAGGACACCTCCCTGAGGGCGAGCTGCGAGTCGTAAAACTTTGGACCAATTTACCGCTGTCACTGCTTGGTTGTTGTACGAGAACTCCAAGTTTCTTGGCCAAAAGGCGTGGAAGTTGGATAAGAACATCTACCTAAGGTTAGTGATAAAAAGAAAAGAGAAAAAAAAGGTGAGAAGAGAAAAAGTCTCTCAACGGCACTGCACTCACAAACCAAGTAGAGCATGCCACAGCTGGAAAGGACCAAGTAACAGCGTTTCCGTACTTGACAAGAATCCTTCCAGGCGTAGAGCCAGCCGCCTCTGGGGACGGCTGAGACCTGACGTCGACCAACTCTCCACGGAGATCGAGCTCGGACATGGTACCGCAAGTTACGAGGAGTGCTGGTCACTGGTCAGCCACAGGGGAGACTTGTGTCACTCGAGGGGTGTTTCACACAGTTGTCTAAAACTATACACCAGAGCTGCGCAATATGAAAGCAGTCATTCGTTTTGGTTGGGGCCACTTGACAAACAGCTTGTAGCATGTCTCTCTGTTCTGTTGTGCGGGAGTACTGTGCCTGCAGCAGCGTCTGCGAGGGAAACACAGACGTAGATGAGCCTGCAAGCAAGCCCGAGTACTTTTGCAGAGAGAAATACGGGAGGCAGATCCATCTCGCAGAGCCTGTTGGCTTCTCTTGGCCTGAAAGCTGCTTCGTGAAGGACTTTAGAGGGACCTCAAGATAGCGAGGTTCCATATACCCAACCCTTGCCCCTTTGGGGTTCTGTCGTGTCTTGATACAGTGCTTCTTCACATCTGCTCTGAGCTTTGCCATGGCACTTCTTTCGAGCTCTGGGAAATGAATTTGACGCGAGATTTCGGCCTGCATGACGGTCAGACAGGAGGTAAGTTACGCATAGGGAGCATCCACGTTTTATCTACCCAAAAATCGTCAAAGTTCATGACTTCTTGGTGGATATGGCTACCATGCTGTCAGTAACAGTTCTAGTTCTGAACCTCTTTGCTAGGCTCGTTGGTTACTACTCACAGCCACTTGAACAGTGACCTTTTCTTCCCTTTTGTGTCGAATAGCTCGGTCAATTTGGCTGCATGGACGCCTCCAGTTTCCGCACTGCCGGTGTAATGTGAAGAATAAATTCTCTTGGCATTTGATACTACCGAAATATCGCGACTCTCTCTATGTGCAGAGTCAGAGTCCACCGCTGGCGATTCCAGATCTGACAGTTCTTCGTCCTTGGAGGCCGACTTGGAAAACAGGAAATTGAACTCGTCATATGCGTCCAAATCTCCGTCCATGGGGCTCGGTGGACGAAAGCCTCTGTCAGCCTGTCCCTCGTCAACAATGTAGACTTGTGCGTCTCCAGACTTGTAGGCGTGGACCCGGGGGCCATCATTGGCATCATAGTATGGCACCCTCGATGGAGAATGGCTTCGGTCAGAAGCCTGGTCCGCATCTCTTCTAGTAGTTCGTTGCCACGAATAGGTGTCATCTTCTTCCCTGCTGTCCATTCGTGGGGGAGACTGCGAGTATCTCGACATTCCCGGCGGCTGTGGAACCTCTGCTGTCTCGGCATCACGATGTCTCACCCGCCTCCCAGAGGAAGCGGGAAGTCCGAAAACCGTCTGCTGTGAATGCTCCTCGTGGTGTGACGGCATGCGGCGCTCGAGATGCGTCCATGGCGGCATGGTAGATGCAGGCACTCTTTCTGGGACATATTCATCGCCAGAGTATTGGCCACGACGTCTTGACGACGTTGGGGCACTGTATACATATCTCCGGGGGCGAGCAGACTGTAGGTAAGAAATATCAGCCAATTGTCCGCCGCAGACTAAGGGTTCAACACACGGCATAAGTCTCTCGGTCGCCTTGGTAGAAGCGAACCCGTGGCCGACGCGAATTGCCCTCAGAGGCGTAATAGGCCATTACAGCACTGCACAGGAACAACAATTCCCGGAGTTGGTATCAAGCTAAGCAGACAGGCCAAATTATACAAGTACAAAACGAAAATATCTATTTTGGTTCTCGGGACGAAAAAAAAAAAAGGCATGTATGTATGTATGAAAATCTAAGCTAATCTAACCATGCATCGTCAGGGATCTGGCTTGGAGCTGCATGGGGCCTGGCATACCCTACATGACTCGAAAACGTTAAGCCGCGTCTCGGACAAACAATATACCAATATATACTTTATTACAATCGAATATATTTCATTATAAATTACTGAAATATATTAAGGTGTGAATTGTTTCGCTCATTATTCGAGTGAAATTACAAGCATGATACGAGTATTGTGCAAGTGTAAAATCTGGTAACACAGCACTTAAATAGATATAATAATAGTTGTAATATAGTGCGTGATAAAGGGATAAGCGCATCTAGAAAAGAGTAATCCCGCCGAGCAATTCACACGTGGCGCGATCTGTCACCAAGCATGGAGCAACTATCGCGAAAGTTACAAACCACATCAGGGCGCATATAGGGAGAATTGAGAAAATGGAGGAATTGGAGAAGACGATTACGGATATAAAGTTCCAGATGGCAGTCGAAATTTTTTTAACTCCAAATGGGAGGCACCAAACAGTGTCGCATCAGTCGTTGCCGAAGCACTGTTCACGATGGGTGTCACGCATTCACCCCATTCCCGAATCTGTCCAGCCAGCCGTCACTACTTTATTTGCTCTGTCCCTAAAGTAGGAATTAGTCATTCGAAGCCAAGCCCGTAGCTTATAGTTGGCCATCTTTTAAGTAGTCTGGTTCCTCTTGTTACGTCGATGTCATGTTATGCCCTAGTTCCACCTTGATGTCCTGAAAGATCTGCAAGTTGGACATATCATGGGCAGCGTCGTCCTCTTTTGTCGAATATTGGAGCACTTGTTCTTGTCGAGCGGCTTCTTGTTTAATTATCTCATACAAGTCAAATAGAGTCCACTCTAGTGACTGGACCATGGAGTCGGTGAGCCCTTCGCGCGATGCTTCTGATGCACTCTGATTGTATTCGGCATCTAGTTCGTCGTTTGTAAAATCTCGTGCTGCCATGCCATCCCGTCTGTTAAATTACAATAAATAACCGTGATATGCATGCCTGATAATTTCAGGCCACTGCGTCCATTCCTCGGGCGCCAATGTTCGTACTTCGCTTGGAATAATGCTGCGAAGAATCTGCTCCTCCTCTTCTCCAGGAATGCCAAGGAGGTAGGTATTCCGCCACCGTGTTATCCCATGTCTGTGAAACGCCAGAATCCATGTTAAATAACAAGTTACGCAAGTAAAAGATATAGGTATAAATGTCAGCTATACGATTTCCCAAGATTATAGGCATTACCAGCATTGAAGGCTTCCGACGGGACGTATTGCGTAGTAGGGCCGCTCCTTGGAATCGGCGGCCCCTTCAACTCACCAGCGTAATTTTTGGAAGCCTGGGTTGACCACATCAAGTTTCCCCTCTCTGAAAAGACTGTCATCAACTCTTTGTGCGCTAGATAAAAGCAGCTCCATTCTCCCCTAACTAGAAGCATTGGCCCTTATAGGGAGGGTATTTAGGAGTCTTGGTCTCATCAAGATACTGCACATGTGCCGCACCATTAAGGCTATAATGAGCCCGGGCTAAATCACGTCCGCTTCAGTATCCTTGGCATAATTCACCTGCTGGGCAAGGACAGGTCAAAAGTGTCTGGCTAGATCAGGTACCTAGCTATCGTGCTCTAAGCTATACTATATTGTAACATACTAGCGTATACTTCTTGACGGGCGAATATATATTTTATCAGACTGTATCTTAGGGGGAAACCTCCGTATCACCTTATGTGGCAGAGGAGGATGCATCCCTGACTTTGCGGCACCGAAACTTTGAAGACTCTAGATAGTAAATATCACCTCCCGAAGAGCCCGACATCAAATGCGTGACAAAACTGCCAACTTTCTTCTCCACCCCAGTCACTACATGATGGCAGCTTCTCGTGCAATAGCAATACCGTCATCATGCTCTGTTGCACTCGATGCCTGGTGGTTGTCTCTCCGTCGAATACCAATGCAGAAGCACGTCCATTGACCTCGACCAGGTACCGCTGGATGACTAAAAAGACACCGTATCGTTTGAAGAATCGTGATTTGGAGGAGTAGTATCTCACATAGCATGTAGCCGAAAGTGCTGTGCAGTGTGTACTATCATTCTCCCAGACCACAGCCAACCACTGGCAATATCAGTTCAGTTTCATGAAGGAACCTACACCCGTTTCCAAGGTGCTGCCCTAGCGCTCCTTCGCTCGTCGCGCATAGACAAGATCGTGCGATATAGCTTCCGAGTGGTCTTTCCAAACCTTGTCTGAAAGCAAGTTGACAAATTCCGGGTGTGGGATGAGAACGGGAAATAAGATATCCAATAGACTGGCCAGACCGCGCCGGAGGCATAGAGTTTCTGCTTGCGATTCGTGTGAATATGCAACTTCTAATGCGTTTCTAAGGTGAAAAACTGCCGCAGCAACCTCCTCATGTTCCATCGTCTTGTTCACAAATGTCTTGGTCAGGTAACACGCCAGGTCTTGAGACATCTGTCCAAGGACCTTTTCAATATGATCTTTCATCGCCTCGACCCCAAGATCCACGGCGCCAACGTACAGCAATGCGCTACGTGGGATACAAATCAGATCACAAAAGTTCTCCCGATCGTATTCTAATATTTCAAGGCCTGGATACAGTCTTGAATCAGCATTTTGCATTGAGCCACGGGGGAAAACAAGACGTACTTTCCGTGTACATGAATCGCAACGCGTATCCCACGACCTGAGGGCAAAAAGGCAAGCGCACGTCGCTCGGGGTCCCCTTCTAATTATTGTCCGTCAGTCAGTCCATAATAGCCCGTAAATTGTCTGTATAGTATCCCAATGTTTCATCCTACCTTGTTTGCGGGTGGGAGGTTTTGTCTCAGCCATGCCGACTGCGACTCCACGATGCTACGGTGCACTTCAAAAACCTCGCGGCCAGCCCAGACGAAGACGTCGGCGCCAAATGGCCGTAGCCACAACCTATCAGAGCCTTTGTCAGTAGGCGTATTCCATGATTAGCGGCGATCCAGCCCCATGCAAACCTGGTACAAGCCCGAGGCGCCGCCGCTTGGAGAAGCTTCTTTGATGGCGAGACAGCATCCGAATCCTTGGTATCGGCGGAACAAATAAATTTCACGCTTCGAGATGTTGCCTTTTCTTGCGCCGGCACCTCATTTTCCTGGCTAAAATCCGGTGTGCAGACTGGCCACTCTGGCGCAAGTGAAGCAGCAGATGGCCTTTTCACCCAGGGATTTGTTTTCGGAGGGGAAGCAGGACGTAGATGATCCATATACGATGTGTTTGTCTTGTTTCTGCTTTGGTGATGTGCCCGTAAAGGTGGCCTTTCTAGCTGTCTTGGCCTCCCGTCTAATGGGGCGCGAGTCATTGTCTCGAGTCTCTGGAACGGCCGGGGGGGAGACAAGGTAGGCCCGATGAGTGAAATTAGGAGCATAAATGATTACGAAGGCATGTTGAGCGCCCTGGGTCCCTTGAACGTTGCCCGGCCTGGCAGGAGCTGTGTTGGTTGTGTGTGGTGACGGATTGGAACAAGAGGTGGAAAAGGGCCTGCGTGTATGATATTGATGACTTCAGAAGTAATTAGGAAGAAGAATAGGATGAGTCAAGAGTGTATAAAGGGGGGGCAGAGTCTTTGGTTCCCAGCCAAAATGTCCGGGGGCTCTCTCTTTTCCCCTCTCTTGGCTTCCTTCTCCAGGCTCATATTGAACAAAAAGTGAGAGGAGAGTGAAGGAAGCAATCCAAACGCTTGCGTGAGTGTTTGCCGCCATGGGTGTGTGCATTGTCCGATGTTTGCGTGGGTGATACAATAGGGCGCCGCTCCGGACGCAATGGTGGTGAACATGTGTAAATATTCGCATGTGCTTTCTCTCGAATTAATTATGTCGCCATCGAAGTCGTGCACCAAACAGTAAAAGAAAGGTGCAAGGTATATGCAACGTTAGTATCGCTGCCAGTCTTCAAGTCGCTGAAATTTGCTGCCGCACTTAGTGTTCCTAGGGCTAATTAGTTTTTGACAGAGATGGAAGGAATAAAAAATCGTGTCACAGTTAGGCTACACCACAGGCCTTTGATAGGATAATTACACTTTCCGGATTACCTCTCTCACGGATGACTATGGGAATGGGGATGGGAATGGCTACTTTATCTTGTGCAAGAGAGCTCTCGACGTCCAAGACTAGACGCCACCATGTAACTGATGGTCTCAAGGTACTTAAGTACTCGGCAACTAGTAGCGGGGTCTGCTGGATGCCAGCTGGAAGCACCAAGTCATCATGTCAATTCATGTCAACTGCTGGCAGACATCAATTGGTCCAGCGTCGGCCCCAGCGCCAGATTTGATCAAGTCACTCGTTGCCCCTCGCTCACCTACTAGGTACCTAATACACCTCGGCAGGGCGTGTCAGCATCGGGGCATCCGTCCTGGTTGCCTAAATTCAATCGGACCAGACATCGTGTTCCAGCTCGCAACTGCAAAGTTGAACCCCTGACGACTTTCACGACATCCTTCACCGTCCCAGCATTCTCCACACTCGACAACACAGACACAGACACAGCAACATCTTCTGCATTGTTGGGCCCAAGAACAATGTCGCAAGCGCCGGTGCAAATATCCTCCAAGGAGCAGTTCGATGGCATTCTAAAGAGCTCAAAACTCGTCGTCGCCGACTGTGAGTAACTGGTCTATCGAGATTCATTCATTGCCTAGGCTGTCGCCTCGGCTCGACCCCGCCACCAAAGATGGGTGTTGCTTGGTGATTGCGAGCAATTCTTCAGAGCGGATAGACATTGCCAGCCCGTTGCCTGCTTGGCCTTCCCCATGCTGACTCTGTTTCCTCCGTAGTCTTCGCCGTCTGGTGCGGTCCTTGTCAACAAATCGCGCCAGTATATGAGGCATTGTCAAAATCGCTTTCCCGGCCTCAACTCCTTACATTCGTCAAAATCGATACCGAAAAAGTCAAGGCTCTTTCTGAGGAATATCAGATTACCGCGCTGCCGACCTTCTTATTGTTCCAGGAGGGAAAGGTGATCCAGTCGGTCAAGGGTGCAAATCCCACCGAGCTGAGACGCATCATCCAGAAACTAGCTTCTGAGCTTGAGTCTGCCGGCGAATCGTCTGGTACCGGGACCGGCAGCAGTGGTCCATGGGCCGGCGCAGAGATTCCGAGGGGATATAGTGATATTTCCGACCAAGTAGAGATACGCAATTGCGAGCTGTCGAATGCCGACGAAGATGCGGGACCGGTCAAGGTGCTGTTCGACGTCGCGAAGCCCAGCGCTTTGAGCAACGACAGCAATTCTGTCAACGTCAAGGACTTTGTTCAGAGCGGCGCGGATGACCAGCTTCTTCTCTTCATTCCTTTCCAAGGTTCCGTCAAACTTCACACATTGCAGGTGGGCCAAGACGTTTGCCACAGCTTCCCGGCAGTCAAACTAACGGGAGCACGCAGATTACGTCTCTTCCTCCCAAGGACCAAGATACCGTCTCGAGACCCGTGATTGTTCACCTATACATCAACCGGCCACAACACATGGACTTTAGTGAAGCCGACGATACTGAGCCGACTCAGGCTATTACGCTGACTTCCAAGGATTGGAACGCCGAAGGCACTGCTAACATCAGCTTGCGCTTTGTCAAGTTCCAAAAGACAACCACGCTGATTCTGTATGTGCAAAAGGGCGAGGAAGGCGCCGACGCCGTACGAATCGACCGGATTAAGATCATTGGCGAAGCCGGTACCAAACGCGAGATGGGCAAGCTCCAGAAGGTAGGAGATGATGAATAAAAAGCACCCTCCAGTGTGCGCACGCACGCACACACATTGGGTTTCAATTGAGGATGTTACAGGATGAGATGAAGCCAAGCAACGCCAACGTGGGCAGCCAAGGAGCGCATTGTTACAAGGCGGAGTTACGGTCACGGATAGAAAAAAAAAAGCGAGGCAATTCAATAAGCATCCCACATCCTGACCTATATCCAGTCCGTGGGGTTGCTTTTACGTAGGCGACGCGTTCCGAGGACCGCAATCTCCTGACCTCTCTTGTCACCGATCAAGACTCGGGGGGAAAGTATGTCCAGCCTCCATGTTGCGATCCAAGTGGTAGAAGCACCTGCACCAATAGCAAAGAAGCCGGCCTGCAATTATAATTTATCTTGGGCATGATTGACGCTGCGATTTATCCATGGTAGAGGACTCGAGCAACACGGGGTAGAATTTCATATCATGCCTGCCGCACGAAGAAGAAAAGAGAAAAAGAAGAAAGGCCATGGTCCGCGGTGCGACGAAATTTTATGGGCTGGGTTGCGTGAAGGGTTGCTGAGTCAGCGGGTCCACCCGTACAGGGTAGGTGTTGTGGAAGACGGCTTGTACTCGTCTTGATTGTTCTTTGAAACATGCTACAGAGTAGATGGAGTAGATTCCACCTTGTCTAGAATCTGATGTTTCACCTTTATGAAATATAGTGCAACCCGGCAAGTGATTTTGGTTTGTGGGCGTCGTACAAGAAAAACTAAATGAAGAGCCTGGCATAACATAGACGCCGGCCTCGGCCCGCGCACATTTCAGATTCTAGACCCGCTATTGGCCAGAATGGTTCCGTGGCTGCAGGCAACATGAAGGTCCAATATCGATGTGCTCGGGCAGCACTAGCCTTCACGACAGAAGTAGGCATCGCCTTTGTCAACCACACATGAACTTGTTGGCTCACCCCAACCAGGCTACCATGAATTTTGAAGTCTTCGAAACTGGCTCGAGGTCTGCATCTCAAGTGGCGCAGCTCGTTCTGATGCTGGGTCGCCTGGCTACGGTCCCCATCATCCAGATCCCATCGCACCGTCGGCCACCATGTCATCACAACTACCCAAGCTGGCCCCCAGGCCATTTGGAGAGTTGCCACTAGGCGCAGGTAAAGTCAATCCCAAAGAGCACACAGAGCGAGAATGGGAAGCCCAGCGGGGGGTCATTGAGCATCTCTACATTGGTGAAAACCGAAGGCTGGTTGATACCATGACCATCATGACGTCCAAGTATGGGTTTGCGGCGACGTAAGTAACAAAAAGTCTTGGGTCACGTACTACACGGCTCGCCACTAACTCGAATCAAGAGAGCAAATGTATAAAAAGCGGTTGAAGAAGTGGAACTTGCGCAAAAGAGCGTACCGCACAACCTCAGAAAACGCCGTGGCCTCCACCGCGGCATCAGCGTCAGACAATGCCGGCTCGAGCAAATCGGGTGCCGAGGTGCTACGTCAAACGCCAGATCGCATGCTGCAGCAGCCGGCTTGCACGACTATTGCACGTACCACCAAGCTTGGCCCTTATGCAGGTCTCGAGTTGGTCCTCGACAGTGTCCGCTCCTGGAGCTTATGTAAACTGGAATCCAGAGGTGTTGCACTGGATCCTATGGTGCGGTATCTTGCGAATCCGAACCAGCCCCCCATTCAGGATAGCCGGACCATGTATCGTACATTTGAGCTGGTATTCGACCTGTGGCATCACGGAAAAGGCCAGCTGGCCGGCATGGCGGCGAGGAGGGCATTCTACAGTCTCGAGTTTGTCCTCACAGCAGATCATCCAGACCTTGTATGGCATATACTGGATACGGTGTACGACATGGTAGACAGGGGTCATATTCAACTTCTGGGCATGTTTCTCACACATGCGAGAGAACTCTCAACAAGGCGTCTTCCACAAGAGCACCCTCTGGTGAAAATCCTCCAGGAGCTCACAAAGTGCGACTATCAGACCCGGCTGGGAAGGGAGCGGGTATGCCATCTCTTGCGGTCAGCCTGGCTACAAAATGTGGACATTCTCAGCGACCACATTGGCTCTCCGGCGCCAACACATCTCTGGCTCTACGAGCAACTGATATGGGATGGCAGAACAAGTCTTCGCAGGGACTGTGAGCTGGCAAAGAGGGGAGAGACGATGGTGGCGGCGCTGGCAGGCCTACACCAACTCGCCGACGTTGATCCCCGAGTGTCCAAGTTGGATAGATTGCGAATCATGGCGCTCATGTTGGAGTACACTCAGATGGATCTCGGCGATAGACAAAAAGCAGAAGAACTCGCGGTCAATTTGCTAAACCAAACATCATTGAATAACGAAGCAAGCCGGTCCGATGCCAGGTTCCATGCATATGCCCGCAAGATGCTGGCCAGACTGCAGGAACATGAACAAGATTGGGTCCGGGCGGAAGAGAATCTCAGATATGCAGTCGAGAAGAGAGAGGCTGCCCACGGAACGGGCTCCGACTTGCGGGTGATACGAGACATGTGGGTGCTTGCTGGGTACTACCAGAGGACGGGAAGAGGTGGCGCTGCGAGCCAGATTGTGGATGACGCGATATCAAGAGCAGAACAGTATCTCAGTCAAGGGGAAGTCGAGTGTACTTGAGCCATCTTATTGGACGTTCGAGAGCCATGGATTTTTTTTTCTTAAAAAAAAGTCGTGTATTTCAGATCTAGATGCCAGAAACTACCTACCTCCCTACCTACCTAGATAAGTAGGTCCTGGGCTGCTAGCAAAGAGCGTTCAACGGCGTCAAGTGACTGATCATGGTCAAGCTCAACGCCTAACTAACGTGGGGCAATCCAGGATCCGCCACGATGACGTTGGCGACCTCCAGGCACATGCCAATAGTGAACCACGTTCACCCATCTCTCACAATACACTGATCAAACTGAACTTGATTTATCTGGCAACAATTCGAAACGAATCCCTCAAGTCCCATACCAGTAGACAACAATGTCTAGAGGACCGCCGCCAAATTACTGTAACGTCTATAACCACCGACGCCACTCACACAGCCCCGTCTAACAGCCATCCAAGATGCGATTCTAGAAGTCACAGAAAAGGCTACGACGCAAGAAATACGCAACGCCTACAAGCGGCACGTCTTCCCAAGCCCCCCCACGACCCGAATCGCTTTGCAAAAAGCAACGACACCCCAACTAACAATCTGCTCCTCAGCGCCGCGTTGAAAACTCACCCGGACCGTGTCGCAGCCGATTCCCCGGAGCGCGACGCCCGCACCCGCAAGTTCCAACTCGTCAACGACGCCTACTACACCCTCTCCGACGCCACCCGCCGCAGAGACTACGACGCCCAGCGCAGGCTCTTCGGCCCCTCGGCCCCGGAGGCGGACCCCTTCGAGGAAGCCGACGAGGAGATTCCACAGCAGCCGGGCGCCGCCGCCCAGGGCGCGTACTCGTGGGCGTGGAACTTCTTCAACAGTCGTGCCGCCGGGGCCGCCGACAACGCCGGGCGGGAGCGGACCGAAGATGCCCAGTTCAGCGACGTCTTCGAGGAGATGATGCGGGAGGAGGGCATGGCGGAGGACGGGTCGAATGCGCCGACGAGCAAGTTCTGGAGTCTGGTTGGGGGCCTGAGCGGCGGTGCGTTGGGCTTCATCATCGCCAACTTCCCGGGTATGTTGGCCGGTGCGGTGGCGGGGAACAGGCTTGGGGCGGTGAGGGACGCCAAGGGGAAGAGTGTCTATGAGGTGTATTCGGTAAGCTTGCTCTTGCCCTTGACGGCATTCCAGGGCCTGCTTGGACGGTGAGATGTGCTGATTCATCCTTGTTGGTTTAGGCGCTTCCGCAGGACGACAGGGCGAGGCTGCTTGGCCAGCTTGCTACGAGGGTATTTAGCCATGTTGCTGGGATATAAGTTACCTGTACAGAAGCGATGGGTTGCTTGGGTTTGGAAGGGTCTTGATAGCGGCGGATTCGTTAATGATACACCTGCTGTATAGCAATACAATATACGTAGCACCTCAATAATTATATCACGTAACTTTTTACCAAGGATCATACACTAGAAGAGGTGTTTGCTCATGGCCTATTTGGAACAGAATTATGAGGCTTGCTTCAGCCGAGTAGCCATTAACGTTGAACATGGAGAATGACATGCCTGGTGCTGAGCAGCCCGTACATCGCATAACTCGCTCATCAGCCTGACACGGCCACACATTACATGGTGATTATTCAAGGCCATTCTTTTTTGACCAGGTATTCTTAATTCACGGTGTCAACAGAGACGTCAAGAAATCCAATGATGCCATGAGATGTCACATACATTTTTGATATCGTACGATCCTCATTTCAAAAAAAAAAAACTTGTCATATTCCTGCAACCACAGGCTTTCCTGGTCTACACCATAGCCGTATCTTCGCCATAGACGAAAGCGTCGTAATTTGTTTTGAAAAGTGATAAAATCCCAAACCGTCAAGCGCCAAGAACGTTCTTCTATCGTCGTGGGGGTGGGTTGAATCCAGGAGGGCCACCGCCCGGTGGGTTAAACCCTGGGGGAGGGAACTGTGCATTTCCGGGGAATCCTCCAGGAGGGGGAGGGAAACCTCCAGGGAAACCTGGGGGAGGAGCTTGAGGCCAGTTAGTCCGTCGTTGACATCTTTGATCGGCGTGATTGAACTTACCACCTCGTCCGGCACCAGGAAAGCCAGGAGCTCCTGGGAAACCGGGGAAGCCTGGAGGCGGAGCGCCGCCACCAACTCCAGCGGCGGGGCCCTATGAAAAAAGAATAATTAGTATACCGGGAAATACAGCGGCAGTTGGGAAATTCTTACAGCCAAGGATGGAGGGGGGGCACCACGACCAGCGGGTTTGGCGACTCCAGGTCCAGCTGTGAGGGTTGATGGAATACCGCCGGGAGCACTCTTTCCAAGTCTAGCACTGGGATCGGCCGGGGGAGGAGACTCGACGGAAAGGGAGACGATGTGGGCGCCGCGAACAATGGTTAGACCAAGAGTCCTCTTTTCTTCAGTCTCGACGACCTGGGATGATGACCCGGGTGCGGACGGCTTGCTGGCCTTTCTTTTTACGCGTCGGAATTCTTCGGTATCGGCGAGGACTAGGTTCATGTGCTATCGAACTATTAGACCAATGGCTTTTTTCCCTGTAAAAGGTCGAATGAGCTTCGCAAACCTTGTCAAATGCAAGCATCTGGCCGGTCATTGCACGGCCGTCGTTCAGAATGACGCGCATTCGCCAGTTGATCTAGACATGGTAAGTCAGCACCATTTGGTCGTTGAGTAGATCCTGAGTAGAAGTTGACATCAGGGGCATCAGGAGAGGGACGCATACGTAACCGGCCTAATTCGATATCCAACTGTTAGTATGATGACCACACCGACTGGTAGCGGTAGAGGGGTTCGTTTGACGGCGGGGAGCATACCATCTTTCCTTGTTTGTTCGACATCTTGACGGTTGATTGAGAGCTTGCGAATACAGCTTCTCAGTGTTTCAAAAAATTGGATGCCGTGCGCGGAGCTCTTACGCGACCGCGATGACTGCAACTCACTGCCTGGCGTGTGCTGGGAGGTGAGAATGGTGTTGGACCTCCAAATTTTGCGGAGCCTCACCAGAGAAAGCTGCAAGACCAGGCCGGGGTACAAGCCCAAAGTACCGTTTTGCGCTAAACTGTATTCAGAAGAACGACCCCCACTTTTCACAGTCGCCTCGCTTGAGGGCAGCCAAACCCTCGAAATTTCCTGGGACTCACAAAAATTCGTGACCCGCCCATTCGCCATCTCACGAACTTTGACGAAGCAACGATACCCGTCGACAACAACCGCAACAATGGCGTCCGAGAAGGCTAACAACCCCATGCGGGAGCTCAAGATTCAGAAGCTCGTTCTGAATATCTCTGTCGGCGAGTCTGGTGACAGACTGACCCGTGCCGCCAAGGTGCTTGAGCAGTTGTCTGGTCAGACCCCGGTCTACAGTATGTAAAAATCACCTCGCAGCCAACTAATCTTGAAATTGAATCTTGCGTCGCCTAACGGGTTTTTACCACAGGCAAGGCCCGTTATACCGTCCGTACTTTTGGTATTCGACGTAACGAAAAGATCTCTGTCCACGTCACCGTCCGTGGCCCCAAGGTACACAATTTTCGCATTTAGCACCGAGGCGCCAAGTCACTTGAGCAATCTAACATGAAATGGCAGGCTGAGGAAATTCTCGAGCGTGGCCTCAAGGTCAAGGAGTACGAGCTGCGCAAGCGCAACTTCTCCGAGACTGGCAACTTCGGCTTCGGTATCAGCGAGCACATCGATCTCGGCATCAAGTACGACCCTTCCATCGGTATCTATGGTATGGATTTCTACTGCTGCATGACCCGCCCCGGTGAGCGTGTCACTCGCCGCCGCCGCATGAAGAGCAGAATTGGCGCCAGCCACCGCATCAAGCGCGAGGAGACTGTCAAGTGGTTCAAGCAGAGATTCGACGGCATTGTCCGATAAATTCTGGGCCACTGGGGCATGAGGGTATTTTGTCTTTATGGATGTCATGGCGAACGTTTCAGGGAAACAAAAAGGGACGGTGCGGTCAATGTATTTGCTGTTGTCTTTGTTGCATCTGCTCGACGAATAGAGTCGAGCTTACGGCCCTAGAGACCGACCGGCGCCCATGCCGGCTTCTATAATGACCTGTCTCGGAATGTGACGTCTACCTCCATAATGAAGAATTTCCTTGCTATTCGCGTGCCTCCAGACTGGTGTACCAGCATTGCTACGAGCACTGCTCCTGCCAAGATAAGTAAGCTGTGCATGCCACACCCTGTATCGTACTTGTTCTATGGGCTCATCAAGTCATGTACCTGTAAGCTATGGTGGCTTGGCAGTAACATGATTATCCTCACAGCTTACAATGTTACGATTTGTCTTCAGTTCGGCCCAAAACGGAAGTCCACAGCGCTGGGTGGAGAAGGGGCTGAGCCAAATGCTCACACTGGGCCATGGCGCAGGGCAATCTGATGAATAGTGAGATTTAATCATCATCGATAAGCTCATGGACGTCGACCTGGCGTTGAACATAAAGACTGTGTGTTGCTCCTGTCATCAGTGGCCCTATCTGACATGTCTTCATCTACAACGCAACACTATTGCAGCACTCGGAAATCTAGCTCTGACCACCTGATCTTTTGCGTCCAGCTCATCAAGTGTCAAGTACATTACATATTCGAGGTCAAAATAGCTCGCGGATATACACATCACAATGGGCTCTGCCGAATCCAAGCAAATTGAGGGTCGGTTGCTCACCTCGTCGTTGGGCAAGACCAACTTCAACAAGTCCTTCAACCTCTACTACGAGTCCATGCGCCACGGATTGAAATTCGTCATTGGCGAGCACAAGAACGAACCCTCCAACATTATATCTCTTCCGGGAGGATGGTACGGCGACTTGATATTGTACAACGGCCCGGACACCGATTCGGAGCCCCTGGCTGCGGTCAAGTATGGGAACAAAATGGGGACGTTTGATGAAGTCCGACTGCCGCCCAAGGAACCCGGTCAGGGGCTCATCAAAGAAGAAATCCGGTGTCGCCGCAACGGCATGAACTTTGCTTATACCTTTGCCGTGGCAGTGGGCGAGAGTGGGTATCCCGAGAAATTTGAATGGCGAAGCAGCAAGACCGAAGAAGTCAAGGAGCTTGGTGCAATGTCTCGTGGATGGAAGCTGGTCCGCCTGAATCATGGCGATGAGGTTGTGGCCGTATGGAGCTGGACAAAGCTCAGATGGACTGTGAACAAGGGAGCAGCTTTCAAATTTACAAACAGTGGCGCCACGGGCGAGCTGGGCAATGTATTTGCGATCATGGCGGTAACGTCGTTTATAAGGCATTACCAGAAGGAGATTCAGGCGAGCATCAATGCTGGCGCCGCGGCGTGATGGATGGGTGTTGTAATGACGTGAATGATGGTATGATGGGCTTGTCACCTTGGGTTCGCAATATGCAGTGGGAGGCAAAAAGTGTTATATTCTTCTGCCATTGTCGCTGGTCAAGCCTACCAGACGCAAACATGTGCCTGGCATTGTTCCGGGCTGGAACAACGAAAGCGGCTGTTGAGGAAGAACCTCCACCTCCTCTTATTCTCGATACCACGGCGCTCTCAGCTCAGCTATTGACAGCCTGTGGATGAATATATTTAAGTTACCTATGCGCGATAGCTACTTAAGTAGCTGGGACCTAGCTAGGTAAGGTACTTAAGTAGGTATCAATTGATTGACCACATCTGGTTCAATACCAGTTTGAGACCACTGTCTGGCGGCTGGCCAATCCAACCCGAACCGCAGCCGAGCCGCACCAGTCACAAGGAACATTGAAGCCAGGTTGCCAGGCACCGCTGGTGGCTGATACCTGAGGCTCGAACCCGGAAGGTGGACATTGTTAAGGCAACCTCGGAATTTACAGGCAAAACCGCGCACCGGCCTTTTATTGGTTGGCCCAGCCAACTGTGCTCCACCTACTCCCTCACAGACTCTGCTCTCCATCACTTGTCCTCCCGAAAATCTCCATTTGCTCTCCTGCAAAAGGCAGCACCGCGACCTCCAATCTCCCCTCTCCCAATTGCACCTTGCTGCAATTGCTCCTCTTTTATCTGTATCCTCACATACCCCCTTAATATGTTCCGGAACGCTCTCCGACAGTCCACGCGTGCCGTGGGCGCCGTCTCTGCTGCCGGCAGAGTCGCCGCGGTGAGTCCTTCTCCTTAGACCCGACCCGACCGCCAATGCCATCGAAAACCGTCTGCATCCATCGAGAAAGCCCTACCAGGAGCTCAATTGGGCGGGCGGACAAAATTTTCCACGATTTTTGAGGTCTTCGAGGCGCTGGCGGTGGTGCTGGCTCGATTTGAGCAGTTTGCTGGGCTTTCGGCTAACTTGTTACTATAGGTGCGAAATGCCGCACCCGCCGCTTTCACCGGTCTGCAGGCTCGATCCTACGCCGACAAGGCTTCACCAACTGAGGTCTCCTCGATCCTCGAGCAGCGCATCCGTGGCGTCCAGGAAGAGTCGGGTCTCGCTGAGACTGGCCGTGTCCTTTCCGTCGGGTATGTGGAGCTCTTTAGCATCACAACGGCCAACTCCGGGCCATCGGATATATCACAACATTGCTTGAAATGAGAACATTCTCCATGAGAATATTGTCCATGAGGGCGAGGAACTAGCGCGTCAAACATGCACGGGTTTGCTGACAGAAAATTTTTAGTGACGGTATTGCTCGTGTCCATGGTCTTGCCAACGTCCAGGCCGAGGAGCTGGTTGAGTACGTTGCGTCCCTCTTGTCCCTCGTTTCGCCTGCCTCTGGGACATGACTTCTATGTCTGGACCACTTCTAACGTCGTTTGCCTCCCAGGTTCGCCTCTGGTGTCAAGGGCATGTGCATGAACCTTGAGGCCGGTCAGGTCGGTGTTGTGTTGTTCGGTTCCGATCGTCTCGTCAAGGAGGGCGAGACTGTCAAGCGTACTGGTGCCATTGTAAGTTTGCAAATGACGTGTCATTCTTTGATATTTATCACTACTAATACGCCTTCTTCAGGTCGACGTCCCCGTCGGCTCTGAGCTGCTTGGTCGTGTTATTGATGCTCTTGGTAACCCTATCGACGGCAAGGGCCCTCTTAACACCAAGGAGCGTCGCCGCGCACAGCTCAAGGCTCCCGGCATTTTGCCTCGCAAGTCTGTCAACGAGCCTGTCCAGACTGGTTTCAAGTCCGTCGATGCCATGGTTCCCATTGGCCGTGGTCAGCGTGAATTGATCATTGGTGATCGTCAGACAGGCAAGACTGCCGTCGGTCTCGACACCATCCTTAACCAGAAGCGATGGAACAACGGTAGTGATGAGAAAAAGAAGCTGTATTGTGTCTACGTTGCTGTTGGTCAGAAGCGATCCACTGTTGCTCAGCTCGTCAAGACCCTCGAGGAGAACGACGCCATGAAGTACTCCATTGTCGTTGCCGCCACTGCTTCTGAAGCAGCTCCTGTGAGTAGCCAGGCCAAGTTCGTCAAAGTGAATCTCCAATGCTGATGCTAGCAGCTGCAATATTTGGCGCCGTTCACTGGCGCGTCAGTAGCCGAGCACTTCCGTGACAACGGCCGCCATGCACTGGTTATTTACGATGATTTGTCCAAGCAAGCTGTGGCATATCGTCAGATGTCTTTGCTGCTTCGCCGTCCTCCTGGTCGTGAGGCCTACCCGGGTGACGTTTTCTACCTCCATTCTCGTTTGCTAGAGCGTGCTGCCAAGCTCAACGATCACCACGGTGGCGGTTCTATGACTGCCTTGCCTATCATTGAAACCCAGGGCGGTGATGTGTCTGCCTACATTCCCACCAACGTTATTTCCATTACCGACGGTCAGATCTTCTTGGAATCTGAGCTGTTCTACAAGGGTATCCGTCCCGCCATCAACGTTGGTCTTTCCGTCTCTCGCGTCGGTTCCTCCGCCCAGCTCAAGGCGATGAAGCAAGTTGCTGGTTCTCTCAAGCTTTTCTTGGCCCAGTACCGTGAGGTCGCTGCTTTCGCCCAGTTCGGTTCCGATCTGGATGCTGCCACAAAGCAGACTCTGGCCCGTGGTGAGCGCGTAAGTCTTAACTATAATGTCCTGCAGTGAGCCGTCTACAGATGCCAACTAACTTTGTACAGTTGACCGAGCTCCTGAAGCAGAAGCAGTACTCGCCCATGGCTGTCAACGAGATGGTTCCTCTCATCTACGCTGGTGTCAACGGCTACCTCGATAACGTCCCTGTCTCCAAGATCCTCCAGTGGGAATCTGACTATCTTGCTCACCTCAAGGCAAACGAGGCTGATCTCCTTAACACCATTGAGAAGGAGGGTGCCATCAGCAAGGAGCTTGAGGCTAAGCTGAAGGACGTTACCCAGTCCTTCATCAAGAGCTTCCTCGGCTAAGTTTTTAATCAACAATCTCCTTGAGCGACATAGAAAAAGGGTTGTTGGGGATGATGGTGCCGTCTATACCAAATATTGTGGTTGATGTTCTCTCTAGAGTGGAGGGATAAAGTTGGGCGGTGTATTTGATGGGGCGATGGGTGACGCTGGGAGATTTGCCAATCGTAACCACATGTAAAAATAGAGCTCATTACTCAATGAACGCCTCAATTCCATTTGTTTATAATTCCACCACGTTTCTATAAAGAAAAAAACGCACCAATTTTGCAAGATTCATATGTGCCAGTGGAGAGAGCTGGTGCATAAGTGTGCACCATTTGGCCAACAGCGGCCCCCCAGAGGGAAAAATAAAAAGAAGCTCTCAAAACATTGAAAAGTAGTTTGTGTCAGGGTTTTGATAGCAGGAGAAGCTTGTAGATATATATGTGGGAATTTTGTTTTTGGCCCAACTCAGCGTGAGTTACTACTGCTATGTACCTTTGCCTTGGGTGATGGCGGTATTGAAGTCGAAGACGAACTGGGTGTCGTTGAGGAGTTTTTGGTGGTCGACTGCGGTGCCGGCAAGTTGGAGTTTTTGTTGCAATGTGAGAGCTTCGTAAGTGCGTCCAGACCAACGGCGAGAGCCGCAAGAACGGTAGCGATGGTTGAGAAATGCATTATAATTACAAATCCAAAGCCTACCGGAGAATTACAAGACCTCTGTGACGAGGGCTCAATAGAGGGCTTGGAGCAATATGGCTCAATTCATCTAATAACAGTCTTTGGTATCAAGGGTCCTTGGTTTTCCTCAAGGCCTCGTTAGCCAAAGACCTCCTTAAAGGATACCCGGCCACCACGACGCAAGCGTCGTAAATTAGCCTCCCCAAAAGCTGATCGCACAACCGCTACCGGACGGCGGACAAGTTTAAGCCTTGGAAGTGTGAAATCGCAACAAGTCCACATTCCCGACATGCAGCCTTCACAAGGTCCTGACGAACAACAAGACTCTATCCAAGCTCTCCCTGCGACGTTCACGGAATGGTTACATGAAACAGCCGTCGTCAGGAGCGCAATTGTGACTGGCGTAGCGACGTTTCAGCTACAATGCAAAGCAAACCGCTACTGTTCAAGGCATAAATACCAGCTAAACAGTTCACAACTCGATCACCAGCCCACGTCGGCGGTCAAGTGGCGTAACCCGAGGTTTAAGCCCACCACAAAAATTACTTCGGCATCCGGCAGTTGTTTTTTAAATTCTCGTTCGTCTAACGTACAATCTCCGCTGCATACAGAAGCTGAGATTGTCAAAATCCGGAAAAGGGGAAGAGGCCAATTTTTCCTTGATAACCTCAGAAGAGTGGAGCTCCGTGTGGGCAGGTCACGTGGGGGCGGTCACCAGACGAGTCAACACGGGTAACATTATAACTGACTGTCGTTCATGATTTGAGTGAAGGCTCCTTCCAGACAGGCACTAAACTTGTCGTCCACAGCCTTTAAGAATGCGGCTAGAAGAGTATCAATGTGAGGGATTGCGCGAAGGGACCTGTAGCAAGGTCACAAGAGCTCGTGATGCAACTGACAAGTTGTATGAATAAGCTTGGTGATGCTTCAAGAAAGAAGAAAGCTAACTAAAAGCGGATTAGTACCGGCTTGGCCCACGCGCTTGTCTCTTCCAAGGTTCTGGCCACTCAACTACCCAAGCACCAAGACAACCTAGCCTTGGTCACTTGGATTTATTGTCGCAATTCTACCTGCAAGCCTTCGGAGCAACTTGCCTCGCCTTTATTGACGGACAGAAAGCCTTTCAGTCCGCCAGCTCATTGTGGCAAGAAGAAATAATAGATTCTTTCCAGTACGTTGAATTTTATATTACTTTAAAACCTCTCTTGAAGCCAAATTGTGTCAAACAGGTCATGACTTGGGTCCAAGAATAAAACGCAGAGAATCAGCGAATTATCGAAATTCTCTACAAGCCACAAGCTCTATAGTTCAAGGTCAAAACACTTACTTTTGAATGATATAAGATGTCGCGCCGAAGCAAGTAGGCACCGTGTACCACCTAAGCCCTCGGCCTTGATTGCACCACCGTGCGCTCTCTGTCACATCCTCTCACCAAGTGACTTCATCCAAGGCTTGTTGACGGCAATAGCCCTGCTGCATTTTCTGCCATGGTTCCTGCAGATAACGGGCCCGAAATGTCCGTCACGACAAGAGGCATCCTGAACAAGGTGCGGCACATGGTTCCCCCAATGCTGGACAAGTTCCATAAAGGTACCGCCGCCCACCCCATGGCTGCCATCCGCCGGATTCCAAGCAACACAAAGATGCTGATGCCTCCCCAGGGCAACTCGGAAGAGTAGCAGTCATTGGTGGGAGCCGAGACTATACTGGCGCACCATACTTCTCTGCTATGGCGAGTGCTAGATTGGGATGTGACATGGTGAGCCGGTTGCCTTGATCAAGAGGAAGCGAGTGGTGTCGTCGGGATTAACACGACGTTCTAGTCACATGTCATCTGCACCCCCGAAGCGGCAGCCGTCATCAAGACGTACTCTCCCAACCTGATGGTCCATCCGCTTATGCGCCAATCCCCCGATGACGAGGCGCCCGAGCCGGACCCCGACACGGTGTCCGCCAGCATCATCGAAATGCTGCCCCGTCTGCACGTCCTCGTCGTCGGACCGGGACTAGGCCGCGACCCCCTCATGCATGACACAGTATCCCGTGTAGTCCGGGCCGCCAAGGAAAAGGAAATTCCTGTTGTAATGGATGCCGACGCTCTACAAGTCGTCCAGAGAGACCCCGACTTGGTCAAAGGCTACAAGGGGGCCGTTCTCACACCCAACGTGGTAGAGTTCAAGCGCCTATGGGATTCGCTGGGCCTCAAGGATCCGGGCGCAGCCAAGGAGACGGATAAAGTCGAGTCGCTGGCGAGGGCGCTGGACGGTGTGACCATCATCCAAAAGGGACAGAAGGATTTCATCTCCAACGGCAAGACCACGCTGGTGAATGATCTCGAGGGAGGCAAGAAGCGCAGCGGGGGGCAGGGGGATACGCTGACAGGATCGGTGGCTACGTTTTTGGCTTGGAGGAAGGCTTATCTGGATGGGCTGTGGGATACTGCAGGTCACGAACTGGAGGAGGATGAGTTGATAGGGTTGGCAGCGTTTGGCGGGAGTGCTATTACGAGGGTGAGTCTTGTCATTTGCTACACGTCTACAAGGTCACGCGAATCTATCAGCTCACACAGAGGTCTCCTGATGTGCGCGCGGTATCTACTGCGGAGCGCGTCTTCCTCAACTGCTGCAAGGATGGGTGAACGAGACCGACGCTAACCAAGCTGTAGGAGTGCTCTCGTCTCGCTTTTCTCAAGAGAGGCCGAAGTCTTCAGGCAAGCGACCTCACTGACGAGGTCCACGGCGCATTCATGGGCCTGTTTGGAGATGTTGATGGCGACGCTGGAGGGTCGAAGCTCTAGCTGAAGCCGTCCAGTAGCGTTGACTCTGATTGAAACAAGGGCAAACCAAGTCGTCAGAGGAACCAGATCTAGGCACAATGACACAGCCATGATGTAAACAAACACATTCCTGACACATCCCCCGGATAGGTGCAGAGATTGACCGAGGCGAAGGAATTTGGGCAATTGCATAGGTGACGGATGCACCACATAGAAATGCCACTGCAGAGCGAAGAAACTACAACGAGACTCGTCAAGATGGAATGGGAGGCAAACGATATTTAACAAGGCCATATACCTGGCTATCTCGGTCTATAACATGATGTACTAACAGTGCATTAGTGTACACTTTACTCCTAGGCGAGAATGTAATTCCCTTAACGGAGCAGTGCTTGTATTATGAGAGGTTTGGGGGGACTTTTACTTTGGAAAAGATTACACGACTCCAGGCAAGCCTATGCTCGGATACACTGGCGTGGAACAATGCAATAGGACATGCAGTCCTATTTTGTTCGTTTCTAGCTAGTGTTCCGCCTCTATTCTGACCGACGATACAAGTACCCCCGACTTTCTTGACTTCATTTCATCAACACTAGCATGGATGGGTCGTTGGGGATGCTTACCATCCCACTGGCTTTTCTTACGTGTCACTTGTAGTGATGTGAGCCAAAAAGTTGAGCTACACAGAGATGAGAGATGGACGGAGAAACTCACCGTCGTTCTAAACAGTGCGGGAGAGGTCTTAATTGGCCAGTTACCGAATGGTACTTTGAGAGAAACTAATCAGCGGCCTAGGGACGGCCTTGTTTCCCATTTCAATACAGAGACCGCCGAGCTTCGAGCCGCGACCCAACCGTTGGCTGCAACTTGCTTGTCAGGCCAGTGCGCTCCCGACTGGGTTTAGACTCGGTCCATAATCGTGCCTCATAATATGTTACAAGATGTGTTGTATATGTATGTAAATCATTTTTTACTGCGGCTAGATTTGGGCTGTTGGTTGCTCCGTAATGTGCACCGCGATCACTGGGATAACATACAAACACAGATAGATACACATGGATGAGCAAACGTTGCGTCCCGCCAGTTTGTCGTCTCTACGGCAGCACAGCAGTGGCACACCAGGAACACACTCATCTTGGGGTCTGGTTGTTGTCTCCATGCCAGTCAGCACATAAAGTAGTATCCGGTTCGAGATGCAGGGCAACCAATTCAACAAATGGGAGCAAAAATCTGACATGCCGCACTTTTAGGGCAAAAACCGAACCTCCCCCTTTCCCATCCGATCATAGGGTGGCTGATAAATAAAACCTCGATCCTGCACATCTCATCCGCAGGACCCGCGATCGTCGATTTTGTCGATCTGGCGCGAGGGAACCCCGCCACAGCTTTCCAAGGGATAAGCTTGAGGTGTTGTCGCCAACTGTCATATAATAGAAGTGGGTAGGGGGGTAGGGCATCGGAAAGACATCCTTTGGATTGGCTAGAAGGCTGGAAGGACAGTGAAACTAGTGACCCTGCTTCTGCACGTTGCCGCGAGAGGTGAGCGAGAAGGGTTGAAGGAGTC